GGAGTCGCGGTAGCATATCCCCCACTGGCGGCGGCGCTCCCCCTAATTCGTTTGGATTGTCTGTTGCCGTTGCCACCGAGAGTAGGGCCAAGGCCTCTTCCGCCGCATCTGTAGCCCAGTGCGTAACTTGCCAGTTGTAGCTGTGCCTCCCTCGTGTAAGGAGTGCCATGCCTGCTTGTACTAGTTCCAGCAGTTCGAGTAGTTCCGCCATCGATGGTTGTTCCCCTTGCTGACTGCTCTCTTCCATGACCCCCACTGTAAGCGCGGCGATCTCGAAGGCGTTTGGTGTGGGTAGCGGCGTTCCCCTTCTGTTCGTCCCCTTGGTACGTATGGTATGTAGTTGTGACAGTCGTGTTGCCGCCGCTGCCAAATAGTCCACCACCCCAGGCATGCCCACATCGTTAGCCAGCCCCATTGCTTCGGTGATCAGCTCCATGGCTTCCGTGGCATAGTTGGCTCGCTGCTGCCTCCCCCTCTCTTCCGCATTGAGTACGTACTCCGCTGCTGCTTGGGTTTCCGACTCGATGGATTCGAGGAGTTGAGAAGCTTGGCTTCTGGCCCTCCGAACGGGGCTGGGCGTTGGCGGGTCCCCCCTTTCTGTTAGATTGGTCCCCCTCCTCGTTGGGCTTCTGCTTCTTGCTGCGTCTCCCCCTTGGCGTCTGGGGTGTCTCCCGCTATTGGCGTCTCTGGCGTTCCCCTCGTGGTTCTGGAAGATCCCCGCGAGTCCAGGGTGTTCGTCTTCCCCTCCGCGTACTCGTTCTTCTGCCGGCACATTCATCCCGTCTATATTCAGCAAGCCGCTCCCCTCGTAGTAGTAGCCAGATCGCGTCCGCTTCGCATTGGCCGTTGGTACGATAACTCTCTGGGAACTCTTGCTCGAGCACGGACAGCAGCTGGATCGCGCACCTGTGGCCTTCTTCGGTGTCCCCTGCCGGGTCCGACCCCGGACGGTGAAGTCTGCAGATTAGTTGGTGGACACACGCGTGGCGGCATTGTAGTGGCATGTTGTTGAGTTGGCCCCTGATCTGCTGAAGGAGGTAAGTCCACGTTTGGGGTTGGGCGATGTTCCCCGGCTGGTCCCCCCAACTGTTGCATGAGTCCCATCTCATCCCCGTAACCTTCAAAGAGCTCTTGCGAACTTGACGATGGTCTCTGCGAGGGGAGTTCTCCCCTGATATCCCCCAATAGGTTATCATGGGCCGGGACCACGATCTGTAACTGTTGGGCTAATCTGAGGAGGTCGTCTTGCAGCGTCGCCGGGTCCATTGTGAACTCATCGTGCTCGGAGTCGTAGTTGAGGACGATTTGGTCGAGGATGTCCACTGCTTCCATGAGTGCATTTCTCCCCTCTGCTATCCCCGCGCTATCCCGGAGTCGAATGGAAGCCCCAAAGTCCGCCACGACATCTTCCAGGAGCTCCCCCACTTCGGCCAGTTCCGTGCGCACCGACGTAGCATGAAGTGTGTCCCTCAGGATGTGTCTGACGACTTCGACTAGGGTGGCCGCCATTTGCGCGGGATTTATTCTCCGAAGCTCCCCCCTCCCTGCCGTGATTGCTGCCGTGCGTGATCTCTCCGCTCCCGTTCTCCACCTCGGCAACACGCCTCCTGCAAATAGACGTTCTTCACGGAGCTGCGTTCGCTCGCGGGGTGGCGTCGGGTACGTGTTGGAAGTTCTCCCCGTCGATGAGCTAGATGCTTGGCCCCCTTGCCCCCCGGAGGGGCCCGCCCCTCTGTCGGGACTTCTGCTCCGCGACCCTCGGGGGCTTCCTGCTCTTGGGGTGGTAGTCGAGCTGGTCGAGGTGGTTGTTGAGGATCCCCCGCAGGTAGATAGGCCCAATTGCACCATTGCTGCATCGTCGTCCTCCGGTGGTGCTTCATCTTCACTCGGCCATTCGTCTTCGGAGCTGCTCGGCGGTTTTGGTGGCGGCGCTTTGGGGTGGGCGTGCTGCTCCGCACGTAGCTGCTCCTCCTGCTGGGGGCACGTCTTCCCCCCTCCCAAAGGCGAAGGCTGTGCGCGCTTCCTGCGAGTAGAAGGAGACCCCTGCCCCCGCTGCTGTTGCTGGCCTGTGTTGCGGTGGTTGGTCCTCTCTTTTCCCTTGCTGGGTTCGCTGTAGCTGCTGCTGCTGCTCGTCGGGTGAGGGCGTGTCGCCTTGCTGCACATCCCCTTCGCGTGTTCCCCCATCCCCCTGGCGACGTCCCTGGCTGTCCTGGAGCACAGTGGGCATATGGCTTGAGGCCGGCACTTGGGACGCGGGAGGGGCGTAGTAGATGCGGTCGGGCGGTGGTGGCATGGCTGGGATTGCCCCCGCCGCAATCTGCTTCAGTTCCTCCCTCCTTCCCCTTCTGGGTTGGTAGGGGTCTTCCTGCGGAAACTGCGTCTTGGCCCTAGCCACCCACACGTCCATGTAGCGTTCGGGGGAAACGGAGAGGTATTCCAGCTCATGGTCTTGGGCCAGTGCACTCATGCCTGGCACGGGAGGTCCTCTCATGGCACTTGCACGGTATGCGTCGCCTTCTTCTTCAGTCAAATCCCCCAGCACCGACGACGTTGTTTTAGGTCGCCACGTAAGCAGGTACTTACGAGCTTTCAAGGGCGCCCCCGCAGGATCTCTGGAGCCAGCTGGGGGTAGGTTGCGTACTCTCAACACCCATTGTTCCGGCTCTAGGTTGCGGTGGACGAGGCCGACGGGGATGAGCTCGAACGCTGTCCCCTGAGGGATGAACCCCTCTCCCCCCCCCCCCATTTGAGGTTTGTCGAGGACGAAAGTGCTCCATCGCCCTCCCGCAGATTTCCTCCCAAGGTGTAGTCGGGCAAGCCGCAGGCTACGCTGATTCCACTCCACCCACTCCTCCCCCGGCCTCCTCCGTCCCCCCAGCCCCTTCCGGAGCAACTGTAGCTGGACAGTGTTTATGCCACGCAGTAGGGCATCATTCACTGGCCACGTGGAGCAAGCCCACAGCGCCGCGGGTCTCACTAACGCGAGCATGGCTTTGAGCTTTTCGTCTACGGAGGTGGTGCTGCACATGACAGCTTTGTTTGCATGGAACGCCTTGCGTGCGCGCTCGCTGGGCCCCCCCAGGATGACGGCAGGCACGTTATCGAAGGTCACCGGCGAGCCAAGGATGGTCATAATGGCATCCCCCTTTTGTATTGGCACCTGCTTCCCTGCTTCCCCCCAATGTGCAGCGGCTCCTTGTCCTCTACGTTCGCAATCGCCTGCGTCTTTTTGGCATTGAGCACCAGGTTCTTCTCCCCCAGTTTGTTTTCTAGCACCTCCAATGCCTTCACTAACCATCTGCGATTGTGGCTCCAGAGGTAGGTGTCGTCCAGGAAGCTGGCCCCCCCTTGTGGGCTTGGCGGGAGTTTGGGGTTCTCCCCCTGTCGGGTCAGGGTTTGGAGCTCTGCGAGGACTTCGTCTAGCGTCTCCCCAATGGCCGCACTGAACACCACCGGGCTGTCCGGCGATCCTTGGCGGACGCCGTTTGTTTGCGGAACTTGCAGGAGCTCCCCACAGACCGCCAGGGTGATGTTGTCAGCCCGCAACAGTTGTAGCCACAGGAGCGCTTCCCAAGGTTGTCCCCCATCTCCCCCGACCCTCTTTGCGATGAGCTTCCCCATATGGAGTTGGGATATGCTATCAAACGCCTTAGCCACGTCCAGCTTCACTACATACAGGTCGTCCCCCCAGTCCTTGGCGGCTCGCAGGAGGCGTCGGATACCCAGAACGAGTTCGACGGCTTGACTGCCAGGCTTTGCCCATTGATGTTTGTTGCCCGCGTCCAGGTAGCATCTCCCCCGGTGTAGTAATAATTGTGCGAGCCATTTGAGCAGCGCTGAGCTAAGGGTGATGGGGCGTGTATCCCCCCAGCCTTGAGGCATCATGGTCTTGGGCAGCAAGACCGTCAGCCCCTGTAGCATGTCCTGCGGTATCCTCCCAGTGTAGAGCGCGTCATTGAAAATCTCCATGAGGCGGCACTTCCCCACTGGGTGTTCGAGCAGGTAGAGCAGCGCTTCGTGGGCTATGCCGTCCACCCCCGTCGCCTTCCCCCAGTGCCACTTCTGCATGGTGACTCTGAGCTCCATCTCTCGGAAGGGAACCCAAGGCGTTCTTTTGCATTGTCGTCGGAGCTTCTCAACTTCTTCCCCCCATGCTTGTTCCTCCTCCTCCGGCTTGATCTTGGCGAAGATGGTCTTGAAGTGCTTCTGCGCTTCTTCTCTCCACTGTTCTTGCTCTCGTAGGGAATTGTCCCATTGGGAGGGCTTGGAGGATCTTTTGAGGGCCCTGTACGCCCCCCAGTCCTGCCCCCCTGATCTTTTTGCCAAGTCCCTCACCCACTCTCTGTGCTCTCTTTTGCGTTCACTGCAGACTTGTTTCCACAGTTGTCGCCGAGCTTCTCCTGGCGGTGCTCCTCTCGCTTTTCTTCTAGTCTCCTTGAGGGTCTTGCTTTCGACGAACTTCTCCCCCTTCTTGGCCTCTGTTATAGCCGCCGCTGCTGCTGCTATGGCCTTGTGGTGGTCTTGGCTCTTCTCCAGCTCCTCCTGCATCCTCTCCAGGCCTGCTTTCGAGGTCTTGAGCTGCTTCGCCCCCCAGGTACATTTGGCACGGTGCTTGCGCATCACACCAATTTGCGCTTTCCCCAGGATGGGCTCATGGTCTGACCCCACAACGTCCCGGAAGTCCCCCACGTGGATCTCGTCGAGGAAGATGCCCTTCGCGATGAGGTAGTCAAGTCTCGTGCCGTGTTATAGGGGAAGTGTGAGGGCTCTGTCATGCTCTGCGGTGGGAACTTACCATCTGCATCCGCGACTGCAAAGAGAATGGCCTCCCCTCTCGCTGTTTGCGCCACTGTGCCCACTGTGCGTTCTTGAAGCTCCTCATTGGCGTCCACCCCCAGAATCATCTTGGTGCCGGGCTGGATTCTTGCCAGGCTCTCTCCGAGCAATTCGTTGGTTTGGTCTACCGTGGCGTGGTGCGGGACGTGCAGCGAGACCCCCACAAAGGAAGTGATCCCCGAATGGAGGACACAGGAATACATGTTGGCCTTGTGCTGCGGCGCCGTGTGGGTAAAGGTCCGCGTATCGTAGGCGACCCCCACTCCTCTCCATTCCTCTTGCTTTTTGTGCCCCAAGAGTTGCCATCGTGCAGAACTCACTTTGGTGTCCCCCACTGGCAGCGAAAGTTCTTGCAAAAACAATAGGCGAATTCCATCCAAGCCAGGGATCTTTGCAAAGGAGTCGAGGAGCGTCAACATCTTGTCAGGCCCTCCACCTCCTACATTCCAAGTGGCCACCTCGATTTGTTCCCCCTTAGGGGGCGTGTCGGTGGCTTGGTGAAACCGCGATAGCTTCTTGGCCCCTAGTCACCGAAGGGCGGTTGCCAGTGGCAACCAGGCAGTCTTGACATGGTCTTCGCTCATCCCCAGGTTCCTGGCGATCTTGGCAAGGTCGACCCATCCAGCGCCAGCTTCGATAGCGTCGTCCCCCGGTTTGAGCGCAGTCCCCGAGCACACTTTGCCCCCGTTGTACCATGCTGTACCGGTAGAGTACTCGACCTCCAGGCAGTTCGCTGCCCCCCCAAGCTCGAGGATGAGTCTTTTAGTCTTCGCTGCTAACTGGGCCCTTCTGCGCTTGGCCGGGGATTGGCTGATCGCGAGCCAGAGCCTGCTGTGGGTGCCGTCCTCCCTCCTCCCCAAGATGACGTTCGCCCCCCGAACTCGTTGAACTGCACGCATTGCCCTCCTCCTAGCGTCTTCCGGCGTCTCCCCCCTGCGGGCGTTGAAGGGGAGGATCGCGTACCCTCTTCTGCGTCCTGGAACAAAGGCCTCGTCGGCATCGATGTCGAGCTGGAGTTCTCTGATGACGTCTTGCGCTTTGTTGAGGGTTTCGTCGCCAGGCTGGTCTGGGTCCCATCCCCCTATAATGAGGGCTGGCTTCCTGTTCCCCGCGTCGTCTTCAAGCACGTTCGCTCCCCTCGGCCCTCCCCCTCCTCCGGCTTCGATCTGTTGCAGGCGGGACTCGAGGTCGACGATGCGGTTGGCCAAGGTCTGCGTCTCGGCGGCGACGGTTTCAAGCTTTTCTCCCTGCTTTTTCTGGACTCCCGCCAAATCTTGCAGCATCCCCACGGCGTACATGGCCCTCTGTATCTCCCCTGTAAGCACTTGTCTCTCCTGCTGCAGTTGATGTTGAAGTGTGCGGGCAATGGCTTCCATGGTGACATTCTCCTCAAGCCCTGTACTGTCGGAGAGGCCTCCTGGAGAACTCTCGGCCTGCCTCGTCCTCTTAGGCGGCGACCCCCCCACTGGCTCTCCTGGACTGTCCAGCTGGAGGTTGAGCAGGTCTGCTTGGTATCCACCCCCCCCATGCGGTAGTGTAGGTGGCGAATCGAAGACTGGCGTGGGAGAGAGATCCGGGATGTGTCCGCTGCCCCCCGACATGATTGGCTCCAGGAGGTGCACTAGCTTGACGGCTATGCCACTATCACGGACAGGTAGACGTTGGCGTCCCCCACCCAGCGTAGCCCTTCGTCGGAAAGGCCCCCAGCAGGTTCGGGATGAGTAGGTTCGCCGAATCCCGAGGCGAGGAGGGCTGACACTCTCCCCGACGAGGCACGCAATCTTGCCGAACAGGACCGGACTTGCCGTACCCCCCTCCAAGGACCCGCACGGTGAGGGAAGTAGTGCGCCGAACTTGCCGGTGAGGTCGATGGCTCCGCTCACTCTGGGACAGGCTACCCCGGCCTGCTCTCACCCCCGGGTTGGAGGCCTTACTCTGCTCTCCCTCAAGGGCCCGGCCTTGAACCACTCGCGGCTTGAGCCAAAATGGCTACACTCTCTCTCTCTCTCTCTC